GAAAGTTAATTACCTAATGAGACTCAACAGCAAAATAAGGATAAAACTCATGATAAGATATAGGAATTGTGTGTGTGCAGAAGACTTCCATATAAATAAAATCATTTAATGAATGTTATTCTACTTTCTCATTCATGGCATTTGGCTCAGAATGAATTCTCAAAAATTTTAAATATGCGCATTTATTAATGAGTTTGTGAACATATACTTGGCTAAGCTGAAGAATCTAAAAAGGATTCACATAAGTGTTGACAATATCAGTTGTGTTTTAAGTAATAGTATGTTTATAAATATAAGTACTTACTTAGAAAGTTGTTTTTAAGTAAAGCATGTAAGTTAAGAATATCCATAGTTTCAATGTGTCACAGTAATATTTAACGATTAGCTCCAGGAATATGCCGCAGAAAATAACTAAAACTGGTGTCTTTTGTTTTCTATTCCCCACCAAACTGTCTTAAAAATTGTAAAGAGAAAAATTTATTTTTAAAATGAAATTTAAAATCAGTCTCTTTTTTTTCTTTATGTCAGTTATGGGGTATTGAACTCAGGGCCTTATGCCCTCATCCAGCTTTTTGTTTGTTTGCTCAGGGATGGTGCTTGCCACTACCACTTGAGCTACACCTGCAGATTCAGTTTTTTGCTGGTTATCTGGAGATTGAAGTCTTACAGATTTTTCTGCCTGAGTTGGCTTTGCGGCAAGATTTTCAGATCTCAGCCTCTTGAATAGTTAGGATTATCATGTGCATTCTGCTGATCTCATAAACCTAACCTCTGATTGTAATTTGTTTTGTGTTGCACTGTTACTGGCTATTGATCATTTATTAATCATTTATAGCTATGCTATAATTAAATATCTATGAAAGCTGACTATAAGCCATACATACTTCAAAGTGTGAAATCTCAACAATAAAGTTCCTTGTGTTTACATAATTTCCATTTAACAAAATTTTATTTTACTTGAAAACATAGACTCAATTAAATAAATGAGATAACTTCATATAGTATGAGTATTAGGATTTGAAAAAGAGATATGTGGTAGCATTGTTAGTAAATCTTAGGTAAGGTTTGAGATGTTTGTGACAGGATATTGAGACAGTAAAAATTCTTATAAAAATAAAAATGATATATAACATATCTTAGCTCATTCCATGCTATTATAACAGGTTTTCATGGACTGGTTGTTTATAATGAACAGAAATTTGGGGACTCACAGTTCAGGAGGCTAGGAAGTCCAACTTGAGGTCAGCATATGATTGAAGATCTTACTGCTATCTCATCCCATGGCAGAAAGCAGATATACTCATATAGGTTTTCTCTGATAACTTAATAGATCCTATTTAGCCATTTCTACTTAGTGGTTAAAAAGCCATATGAACCCTATACTGGCGTTATGAGGGAAGCAAATTGCTCATACTAAAGTTAAATGGCATTGTTTTGTAGTGTAGTCACCATGGTGGTATCAACTTCTGCTGGGTCATAGGAAATAAAATATAGTCACACTGACTTGTGTTTAGGGGATGAATTCAATCAAACTGGTGCACAAGTTCTTACCAAGTGGCATTACAATAAAAGAGACAGTTTTTACTTTAAAAAAGTCATATGAAACAAAATACATTAGTTTTAAAAAGTAAAATTCTGTCATTTGGATTTAGAACCAAAAAATTCATTAAATGAAAGAATTTACTCGTTTTATTGTTCACACTATTTGAATAACGTTGCCTTTTTAGTTATTGAGATTGGCATTTAGTTTTTAATGTGCAGCAATAATCATCTATTAGATGCATTACCACTCATGTACCAAAGAAAAGAAAAATAACAAATCTAAAACATAATATACTTATAAACAATGGCTTTTAATAAATGCTAGATTAAATCAAAACAACTGAAGGGCTTCAAGTAAGATAAATAGATAAGCAATCTAATCTTGTTTTTCTTAAAATAAACTTGGGTAAAATGTGATGAGTAGCAAAGATTAGTCTTTAATATAAATAGTAATTGAATTCCTTACTCTCCAAACAGGTGCATATTATATTACCAGAAAATCTATCCTGACTTTGAAGGAACAATAGAAGTAATTGAAAGTAAAGCAGTCATTTATCAAAGATCAAGATATAAGATGATTTAAAAAGAAAATGCTCAAAAACTGCTCTAGTTAGTAGTTTGGACATTATAGTTACAAAATAAATGCATAGTGATATAGAGTAGATGCAGAAAGAGACTTTAGGTACTCTAATTAGTTCTGTTCTTGGAAATATTTATATAACATTTCCACAATGCAGGTTAATATTCTATACTTAGGTTTCTTTGTTAAAATGGTTATTATAATTTAAAAGAATATAAGGAAAAACTTTTCTATTGTATAGCAAGTGTTTTTTTAAATTTACTGATGATACATTGAGTAATTTGAGATCTACAAGAGCCAATCGAATCAGATATCCTTAATAGAACCTTTTTGCAATGTGCATCAGGACAACTTGTAAAGTTTGAACACTTGGTAAGATTGTGTTCAGAATATAACTGCTAATATATTAAATATCAATTAAATTAACACCATTTTTCACTCATTTTTTAAGTTACAGTGCAGAACTACATATTAAATTCTGATCTAATCTTTAAATTACAATACCTCCCAGTAGCACTATTGCAAGTTCTTTCAAGTTCTTAAGCTATGGTGTCATAACAAGTAGCAACACTGCCATCTAGTGTTCTATATTTTTAACATTTCTAAAAGGGAATATTGTAACAAGAAATGTGTTGTTCCATAAAGTAGACACTGCGTATATGTGGCTATTGAATAGTGTATATATGCCCAAAAGATATGACTATTCAAAGCAGCATGCTTGAAATAGCCAAAGCCTATAACTAATCCAATGGCCATCAACTTCTGTACAAAAAAGTATTATGTCTATATAATGATTTTACCATTCATTAACTTAAAAAAACTAAAATCAATATATTAGCAAAGTAAAATACAAACTGCTATGACCATATAAACTGATGGTGAAAATATATTACAAATGAAATACTTATTGCCAAAAAATGATCAGCAAAGTAGGAATATAAGTTTCTTCAAGCTAATGAAAGAACTACACCATTCTTAAAGGGGAAAAATAAATGCTTTCCTTTTAAAATTAAGAAGACAAGAATGAATATTTGCATGTTTATGTATTTTAACCTAGCATTAAGAGATACTAGCTATTGCTGTAAGGTAAGATATAAAAGGCCGCCAGATAGAAAAGTAGAAATCAACAGTCATTATTTCTGAAACATAATAAGCCTAAACAGAAATTCTGACAAATATACTGAAAAGGCACTAGAATTAAAATAGGAGTTTAGCAATGCTATAGAACATGTTGATATAAAACAATTAGAATCATACTTTCTTAAAAAACAAAATGTATTTTTTTATGTGTGTGTCTGCCAGTTCTACGGCTTGACCTCAAAACCTGGGCACTGTCCCTGAGCTTTTTTGCTCAAGGCTATAACTCTACGTGAGCCACCATTCCACTTCTGGTTTTTTGTGATTAATTGGAGGTAAGAGTCTCAAGGACTTTCCTGCCTAGGCTACCTTCAAATTGCAATCCTTTGATCTCAATGTCCTGTGTAGCCAGGATTACAGGTATAAGCCACTGTACCCAGCAGTAATGTAGTATTTCTATAAACACTAACAACAAGCATCAAATATATGTGATAAAAAATGAAGACTTGTATAGTGAATACTAAAATATATTACTAAGAATGATAAATGAAACAATAATTTTAAAAAAGAGTTCTATCATGTCCATGAATCAAGATTCAAAAGATATAAATTTTAAAGATTCTCTCCGTTCACCTGTGAATTCAGCACAACCCCAATTTCAATCTTATAAAGTGTTTTTGTGAAAACTGATAAAGAGTCTAAAATTCAATGTAAGTCCAGAGGAAATAAACAAAAGCTGCTCATAATGAAGATGTAGAGGAAAAAAGAATGTTTTTACACTGTTGTTGAGAATATAAATTATACAGCAATATGGAAATCATTATGGGGCTTCCTCAAGGAACTAAAAATAAAACTACCATATGATCCTTCTACACTTTTCATGGGCATATATATATCCAAAGAAATATAAATGAACATGCAAAAGAACTATCTGTTAACTCATGTTTATCGCATCCTTCTAGCCAAAATATAGAAAATGTTAATGTTCAACAACCAATAACTGGATAATGAAAATGGAGGGTATGTATGATTGTATGTATATGCCTATACATGTATATATATATGTATTTATATATAGTATTATGCATACATGTATATATAATGGTGATGTATTTATCAGTAAAGAATGAAATTAACTTGTGTGCAGAAAATGGATGGAACTGGAGACTCCATCCATCACCATCACTGTGTTCATCACAATAAGCCAAGCCTATCACATTTCACTTATATAAGGAATCTACCCTAAATAAATTACAATAATATGACATGATTGCAAACAGGTAATGTTGTGAAAAGAACCAGTGGGTGACAAGGTGCACAAGAAAGGATGATGGAGTGTGAATATTATTAAAGTATAAATGTCTGAATATAAAACCATGAAAACTGTTAAAAGGTAGAGAGAGTAGGGAGAGTACAACAGATGGGGTAAATTTGATGAAAGTACAGAATATCCATGTAAATTATTCTAATAAAAATAAATTTCAAAATTCTAAAAATTAATCATAATGAAGATGAAATTAAAATTACAAGGATACATTCAAATCCTGTATTTTCTTCATGTTCAAAAAAAGATTTATTTTGTTTTACTTTTTAGAGTACAAAGTATGCACCAAACAATTCAGAGAATAAAGCAAAAAGATAATGCCTATCTTTAACAATGTATATGCTAATGACTTAATTATAAGATTTAAGAAACAAATTATTAGATGGTAACAAACTATTGTTATTCAAGATTACCTTTATCATCTGTAACTAGTAATATGAACATGAATAATTATTTTGAATGAAAATATATACTCACAATAACATGTTCCCCTAAGTGGATTGCCAACATAACGATTTTCAGAATCACATCTGTAAAAACACAAAAATTCATTTACTATTCACGTAACTCAAAGGCTAATTTGTGAGTGTTTTGTTGTTATAGCTGTCACTTTGATTGGGCTATGGATTGGGGAAGAGGAAATACTAATGATAAGTGGTCTAACACTTGAGCCACGTCAACAGTCCATATTGCATTGGTTATTTCAAGATAACTTCTAGTTTTACATCTGGACTGGCATGGGCTTTGACCTTCCTACTGTGCTTTCCTATGTCACTGGGAATGATAGATGCCAGCCACTGTGCCCTGTCATTGTTTAAAAAGGAATCTTGAAAACCTCTTTTGGCATGCGCTGACTTCAAGCAAGTAGGATTACAAGCTGTAGTCATTTTTCATTATGCCAAGAAAGTATTGAAACTATACAATAAACATCTTAAAACCTACTATCACTAACTTAAAAAGTATAATTTATTCAAAAGAATAAACTGTAGCAAAGCTATAAAGGAGCAAGTGTGATGAAGGACACTGTGAAGTACAGGAAGCTGTTCACTATGGCTCAGGTAAGAAAAGGGAGTTGGCAAGATGCAAGATAAGCATCTGCACTCCTTTTACCAAGTTCATTTTCCAATCTCCCATTTCTTGTCCATTAAGGAAGACTACTTTCTATCACAAACACTGTTAGAAGACTGAGGAAGAAAAACTGAGAGTAACTTCTTTACAACACTGCAAATGAGCTTAATAATATGAATCATTATGCTTCACAAGATGCAAATATGTTACCAACACATTGTAAAAATAAGAAATAAACAAAAAGATGTTTACTTTTTTATTAGCCTTCAAAGTCTGTGTTAAACCTCAATGGTATTTTCTTAGAAAATACCATCCCACTGGTTATATATTTATGATGTATAGTTTGATTGTATTACCATTTTTAACCATATTTTCAGAATCCATTGTCTTTGGCCAAATCTAAACAAAGAAGTATCATTCATTATGGCACTCCTTTGAATGGATATTCTAATCATAGTATTTGTGTTTGCCCAATATGGATGTCACTCCTTTTTGCCAGCTGACAGCACAGGAAATGCTTTCTTAAAATCATCTCTAATTTCTTCCATAAGGAATGACATTGGGGGGTAGGAGGGTCTAAAAGTCCACCATAGATGATCAATTTTTATGGCTTCATACTGTATGTACTTAACTGCTAATTTATTAACCATCCAATCTAATTCTTATCCCTTTCCAGATGGTTTTGCACAGGATAAGCCAATGTTCATGTCTCAAGTCCCACTATAGGTTCCTATTCTTTTTTTTTGTTTGTTTTCGGTCAGTTGTGGGGACTGAAGTCAGCCCAAGGCTAGCGCCCTACCACTTGAGCCACAGCACCACTCCCAGCTTTTTTCTGCTGAGGAATGGAAACCAGGGCCTCATGCATGCAAGGCAGGCACCCTACCACTGAGCCACCTTCCCAGCCCCAGTTTCTATTCTTTTAAACCATTGTTTACTTTGGGGTCTCAGTTCAAACATTTCAAGACCCACAGGAATTATAGTTTGCCCAGCTTTTCTTCCTTTAATTTTAAAAGTGGGAGCAATATTCTTTCTAGTTACAGAAACTGTGAATGCTACAGCTAAGTTCATTTCTATTGCTTTGCTTTTAGTAATGCTATTTCCTCCTCTTCTTTTTATGTTTTGCTATTGTAAAGATGGCATACAGAGGATACGGTTACATAAGACAAGAGTATGTTTCTTTTTGGATAATATTATCCCTTTCCATGCTCTCTCCCTTCCACACACACCACCCCCCCACTCACAAGTTGAACATTTCATTTTCAACATAGCATCCAGTGAATACCATTGCTGCATTTTTTCACCCTTTGTCCCTTTTTTCTGTACCTCCCTTTATACTCCCAGAGACGTAAAATGAATAGAACAAAAAGAAAAAAAAACTCGTTTCCATTTCCTGGAGTTTGTTTAGTTAAATATTTTATATGATCAGATTGCACATAGGCATTGTGAGATACTTCTAAGAGTATCCTCCTTTGGTCTCACTGTGTGTGAATGCCTATAAACCAGTATAAGTTATATCTTACATGCTTCCACATGCAAGAAAAAACATGTGCCATTTGTTTTTGTGAGCCTGGTTTACCTCAGTTAACATGATTTGTTCTAGATCCATTCATGTCCCTGAAAATGACATAATAGTATTCTTTCTAATGGCTGTGTAAGCTGGTTCCACATTTTTTGGATACAATCATCTTTTGTAGGCCAGCTGAGCTGTTTCTACAATGTGGCTATTGTGAAGAGTACAGCAATGAACATGATGTGCAAGTGTCTTTATGATATCTTGGCATGTGATGTTCTGGTCTGGTTAGATGTCCAGGAGTGGTATGGTTGGGTCATAGGGAAGCTCTATGTTTAGTTTTTTTAGGAAACTCCAGACTGCTGTCCAGAGTGGTTGTACAGTTTACATTCCCACCAGCAACACAGGGTTCCTTTTTCCCCATAACCCTGCCAACATTTATCGTTGTTCAAATTCACAATGTTGGCCAATCTAACTGAGATGAGATAGAATCTCAGAGTTGTTTTGATTTGCATTTCCTTTATGGCCAGATCCCTGAGAACTCTTCTTCTGAGAATTCTCATTAGTTCCTGTGTCGTTTTAGTAACTGATTTATTAGTTTGAGGAGGGGTTAGTTTTTTGAGCTCTTTGTTTACTACCTTCTTAAACTAGAAAAATTTTACTCATTCCTCAAGTCTCAGCTCAAATAACCTCTGCTTAAAATTTTGTTATCCTTCCAAGGTTAATCATTCTTTTTAGTAATCATTAATAATTTTTCCTTCTATTCCAATAAGTACATCTACTGAGCACTCAGAATGTGACACTGATGCAATGTTTCCTCACAAGATTCGCTCCAATACAGGGTAGGGACAAGTACACAGTAACGGAACAAAGGAATTGGCAGACAGAGAAAGAACCAATTTCACTTTGCAGAGATTAGAAAAAATGGGATGTATGATTAGTACACATAATGACAAACAATTTATCTAGTGAAATGGGAGGAGCTCATAGGCAAAATAAATCAATAAAATAACAAATTATTGATGAGAACTACAATACACTACTACTTGGACAAAAAACATGTATTATTGTTTTTCATTAACAGCATTAAGCACTAATTATAGTTTACTGGTATAAATTCATATCTCTGCTTCCTAAAAGACCACTTTTACAATGAAAATGTACTAGCAAATAATTGCATTAGTGAGGACTCCATTCTTTACAACCCTACAATGAACAAGAAATAATAACAAATTCTATCTACAAATAATATCTACAAAATATTCTTTACAACTTAGTATTTCATTTATCCCTGTTTATAAAGAACCATAAGAAAAGAAAATATACATTTTCGTTTCAGAAGAATACATTTTACATATTCTATATATGTATATTAAACCTTGCAACTTCATTATCTAAACCTATAAGTTCTGATTTAAACAATTAAACACTGTTGTCTTTTGTGTAGAAACCAAAGTATGTCATTGCAATACTAAATTATGCAAGAAGTAACTATTTGGTAAGTTATAGCTATATCATTTATGCAAAATACATGATAAAAATATTTAATAATTCTAGAATTAATATAATAATTAATAATAATTTAATGATAATAAAAGTTTGAGTTTTTCTGATCAGAGAAGAAATCCATAATTCACTTTTGTCTCATATGGTCTATAAAGAATATTTTTATTACTGGTACATAACAAATATAGAATTTAATCAACAGACATAGTGTTGCTTATGATCAGAATTGGTATATAATTTGAGGAAGTGAGGTAGGATGATGAAAGTCAAAAATAAAGAAGTGGGTCAAAGGGATGTTGAAGTGGTGACACAGACCAAGATGTACTGTACACATCAACTGCTTTTTCAGATGGCAATAAATTCAACACACACTTAAAATTAAGAGAAGGGGACCAGTTATGTAGCTTAGTGGTAGAGTGTGTGCCTAGCATACATGAAGTCCTGGGTTCAATTCCCCAGTACCACATAAACAAAAAAAAAAGCCAGAAGTGGCTCTGTGTCTCCAGCGGTAGAGTGCCAGCCTTGAGCAAAAGAAGCTCAAGGACAGTGCCCAGGCCTTGAGTTCAAGACTGGCAAAAAAAAAAAAAAAGATAAAAGATGAGATGAGCTGGGAGGAATGGATGAGAATGTTGAAAGGGGTGACACTGATCAAGATGTACTGTATTCATAAACAGCTTCAGCGAATGGCAATGCTCCTTCATACAACTACTAAAACCAATGAAAAGATACTCAAAACAATGTAAGATTCACATCTCCCCATTCATAAGGAAATGGAAAGACTTGGGAAAATTCATATAAGTAACCCAGACCCAAAGAAACATAGGCTCTATGGTTTCCCTCATTTGGAATAATTGGTATTTGTCTAGGATAGTCCTAGAAGACAATCACAATAACTCAATTGCTATGTACATATGACCACATAAGATGATGCTAAGTGAAATGAACTCTAAGATATGGAAATAAGTGGTTTTCTTTGTTGTTATTGTTTTTAATGTACTTGTGAAGTTATTTCTTCTTCATTTTTTTCCTTTTGGTTTATCCCCTGTTGTTACTGTATTTGATTTTGGTATCATGTGTCTTTTTTTTTTTTTGTCAGTCAGGGGGCTTGAACTCTGGGCCTGAACTTTGTCCCTCAGCTCTTCAGCTCAAAGCTAGCGCTCTACCACTTGAGCTACAATGCCACTTCTGGTTTTCTGAGTGGTTTATTGGAGATAAGAGTCTCACAGACTTTCCTGCCCAGGCTGGCTTTGCACCTCGATCCTCAGATCTCAGCCTCCTGAGTAGCTAGGTTTACAGGTATGAGCCACCAGTACCCGGCCTGTGTCTTGTATACACATTTATCTGATTTGGGGAAGGGAAGGGGAACAACAAAATGGTGAACACAAAGGACAAAGGGTGAATCAATGCAACTTTGATACTCATAAGACAGTATGTTGGAAATGAACTTTATAACTTGGGAGGGGGGGAGGGACTAAAGAGGTAGGAGGAGAAAAATGAGAGAGGGTGTAACAATATTGAACAAGAAGTGTACTCATCATACATATGTAACTATAACCCATCTAACTATCACCTAGACAATAAAATTAAATTTTATTAAAAAAATTAAGATTTTTCAGGATGATGACAAAGCATTAAAACAAATGGAAATTGGTATCCATGACTACCCAATAAGGTTTGACTTCATCTTTGGGGTGGTAGAAAGGGCTGGGGGGGAAAGAATGTGACATTCTTCAAAGAATCAATTCCATGTGAATCTTGTGTGCCCTGTGCAAACTCATAGGCCACATAATAATGAAGTTTTCTATACTTATAATATCCAAGCTTTATTGCTGCAAAATATTAGAGGCCTTCTTTTATCTCACGGTATAGAATTCTGATTTGGTTTGATTTTATGACTTTCCTTAGTAGGGGTATCCCCAAGGTCTAAAGTACTTTGAAGTCACTTTTAACTTTAGTGACTATGGAAAAAGAACAAAATTGAGATGTGTTTTCCTAAGCTTGAAAATTTGTATTACTTAAGTGGTTAATGAAAGACATGATTATCCTACCTTGAAATTTAGGAGATAATTTATAGCAAAAATATGTTTAATATCTTAGGATATATTATTTAAGAATAATTTTAAAATAAAAGGTAATTTCCTGTGTTTAAGAGAGGATCTACATATAAATGTTATTTATACTTCTAAAGAATTCTTTATTAAATTTTCCTAGAATAATATCATAATAGTACCACTTGTCAAATATTGTATATGTAATAAAAGCACTGTATTTGCACATAAAAATAGCTGAAGTTTAACTGGTAAAATACTAACTTAAAAGAGTAGCAATTATTTCTACAGCATAAATTTAATCCATAGAAGTTCTAAAACAAAAAAAAAACACCCAAACACTTATACTTACAATTGGCATTGATCACCTTTTATTCCTTTGGTTGTACAGAAACATTTTCCTGTATGTAGATGACAAATATTTGCATGGCCACTACATGTACAAGCTATAAGGCAAACCAAAACATTATTACATTATTATAATTATTATGTCATTTCCTCATGTCACTCATAACCATATGGACCATTTATTATGTTATTTTAATGAAAAGGAAGTGAATTTTATTTAGTGTATCTAAGTATGTATCAAATTCTTCTCTTCTTCTCTGGGCAGTTTTGTATATGTGATTGGTACATCTACTTAATTAAATAAGTTTCAATAGTTCGGGATGAAATAGACTAGCTTCAAAAGTACATTTACAATGCCTAACTATGTGACAATTTACTTACTTGCTCTAGACTTAACTTCTTCATCTACAAAAGAATGATAGTACTTAACTTTCAAGATTTATGTGAAAATATTGTAACTTAAAATAATACATATCAAGTACTCATTAAATTCTATTAAGATGCCACTGCTACCAATACTAAAAATATCTATGTATTTGCCAAAAAATTATCATTTAATCTTCTGACATCATACTTAGTTCTATTACTTCACATACTAAACTCATCCCATAATGCACATGGATATCTCGTTAAGATAGTCCCCATGTAAGAATCATTATCTAATTTCTCTTACTAATACAGTCATACATTGGATCTCTATGTTCAATTTCAAGGTTATAATTTATTCTCCAATCAAATGACATATTCTACAGTGACAAGGCTGATCAATAACCTTTTCAAAAACCTTTTCTACAACAACTATTGTGTTCTTGCATACAAGCTTCTAATAAAACTATTCTACTGATAATATGAAATAATATGGTCTACAGGGCACACATCAAAATAAGCTATACTCACTCAAATGTTCCCAACATTAAACATCATTATTCATCTTAAAATATCTGGAGCAACTTTAATATGAATACCACTTAACCAATGTAACCTGATAATCACATGACTACCTCACCTGAGTCTCCAAAATAAAATGGATCTTATATACCAAAAGTGGAGTTCAAGGTTAATTTGAAAATTGCTTTGTTCTGAAAGAATACAATAATAGTTTAAGGTTTTTAGTCTTGCCTTACTGAACTGAAGTTTTATTGGAATCTTTTATAGTAAAAAAGAGTGAGTAAGGAAATAATTAAGTTAGAACTGTCATAGGAAATTATTTCAGCACATATATCCAATATCCTAATGGAGTGGCAGATTTTCCTCTGGTTCAAATATCATGAGAAGAACTTCACATGATCTCACTGGACAGCTTAATATTAGTTGCCTTGAACCTAGGTAGGATATTAAAGAGACTCTCAATTTTTATTAAGGTAAGAATAGGTAAGGCTACTGAACTGATGTGGTAGACAAATATAAACAGCTACTGTTAGGCAGTGCTATCATTTCTGATAAAACAAAAAAAGAGAATAAAAAAGAGAAGTTGTAAGCACAGGAACAGAGAATGTATTTTCTCATCTTTGAGATCTGTACAAGCTGCAAAAGATCCCAAACACCACCTATTTAATATCACATGTATAAGAAAGGGTCAGAAGTTATTCATCTCTTACACAGAAGACCTTAGCCACAACTATGACATCTATACTTCTCACACAATATTATACAATTTTCTCCATTTTATAAGAAAGATCAAAACCAGCATCTAGAAAGGTAAGTCATCAGTAGAGCATGTTCTTATCATGTAGATGGTGCTGGGTTCAACATCCAGAACCAAAACTACAAGTTATCAACTCATTAAAAGATGAAAATTCTCAGTTTAGAAAAAGAAAAGATACAGAGGAAGAGAGAAAAAATGTTGATTCAAAGTAAGTTTAGAAGTTCGAATTCTATCTAATCTACACAATTATTGTTTTTATTTAAGTATATTTTTTAATTTTTATTTATTTTTTATTGTGACAATACTGTACAGAGGGGTTACAATTACATGGGCAAGATAATGAGTACATTTCTTATCAAGCATTGTAGCCTCCTCCTTTGTTTCCCCTTCTCATCCCTTCCCAGCCTCCCCTTGCCCCCCCACCAAAGTTGTAAAGTTCGTTTTCGACATGACAACTTGTACTTCTCCTTGTTGCAACGGGTCCACCTGTATTCTTATTTAAACGACTTGCTTTTCCCCTTCCCCTCCACAAATTATACTGACATCAAATACAGTGAAAGCAGGGGTTATACTGTGGGGGAGGGACATACAAAGCAACAAAGAAATAATCTTATAAACGCGTTAGAAACAAATGCATGAAAGAAAAAAAATTTGAATACATATCTTAGGATTCATTTTCCTAACATCACCTTATCTGACCTTTTCTGCTTGACTCATACATATACTAGATATTGCAAATAAGGGAAACCATGGGACCTATGTTTCTTTGGGCTTGGCTTACTTCACTTAATATAATTTTTTCCAAGTCCTTCCATTTCCTAACAAATGGGGCAATGTCATTCTTTCTGATGGAGGCATAGAATTCCATTGTGTATATATACCACAGTTTCTTGATCCATTCATCTACTGAGGGGCATTTGGATTATTTAAGTATATTTTTGTGATGTAAATTCTTCATAATTCTTTATTTTAGCCAAGAATGAGTCCAGAAAGCTGTGGCTCCAAGTGGTAGGGCACTACTAACCTTGAGCAAAAGAGCTCAAAGACAGCACCCAGCCCCTGAGGTCAAGCCCTACAACCAAGAACAACAACAAAAAAAGAATTTACAAGAGTGAGTCTGGGATTCCATACATGGTAAGGAAAACACTATTCCAGTGAACACATTAAAGAAACAATAAGAGAGGAACACTATTGTGTTTCAATTACATATTATTATTCTTGGTAGTATATCCTATAAACTGTTTATGTTACCAAAAACAATAAAGAAAACAGAGCAAGTGCTGTTATTATTTTGTAAAGTTGTTTATGGTGATAACTTTCAATTGCCTATATAAATACATATATACATATATTCTGCTTACAAAGCTGTTGGTAACATAAATAGTGTGATGGATGCAAATGAACTACTCCAGAAATATTCCAAAGCTACCAGTTTTATCAATCTATGTGGTGCTTGTAAAGTAGCTTACCACGTCCCCCATCCATAATTGAACACTAGACTAAATTTTGTATTCATCAATTTCCTTTTTAAAAATAGTACACCTAAACAACTTGCATTAAGTCTTCTATTAGTAAATGAAAATAGTTACAAGAAATTCCCATGAATAGAATCACACAGAGAAAAAAGAGGTCTCTACATTTTAAGAGAAATAGGCCAAGCATAAAGCTATAGAAAATAAGGCTGGCGGGGCTAGGAAGGTGGCTCAGTGGTAGAGTGCTTGCCTTGCATGCATGAGGCCCTGGGTTTGATTCCTCAGCACCACATAAGCAGAAAAAGCCGGAAGTGGGGCCAAGGCTCAAGTGATGAGCGCTAGTCTACAGCTGAAGAGCTCAGGGACAGCACCCAGGCCAAATTCAGGCCCCACAACCAACCAAAAAAAGAAAAAAGAAAATAAGGCTGGTTAGAGAAATGAGAATGCCCAACCTTAATACACACAAGCTCACACACTGAAAGGCCTGACTCCCTTTGTAATGTGACCACACTAGGATCCACATGAGTACTTTCACAAAGGTGGCTGCGTTTTCAGAAATGCACAGATGTGAAAGTGAACCCAGGTCCCTTCTTCTTTCCCCATGGAATAACTATTGCACTGGATAGTGGCCATTACAGAAGCAGCCTAGATCTCCATGAGATACTTAAATGACACTAAATTCACTCAGTACCTTGGACAACACCTCGGACAGCACCTCGGACAGCACATCAAGCTGTTTCTTACCAAGTTCTGATGATCATGGCTGTCTACAAGTTTGGCTTTCACTGCCCTGGGTAACCCTGCTCTGATACAATTGAACTTCTATTGACTCTTGCTGCCTCTCTTCACCAGGCCCATGGAAAGCTGCTCCCAGCCTAGCATTCTACAAACATCCACTCGTTTCTATAAAAACTTTGTTGAGAAAAATTAAAGACACCACAAGTAAATTCATATTTTGTGTTCATGGATATGAAGAATTAATATTAGTAAGATAAATGAAAATTTGATGTACATATTTAATCCCTATCTGAATCCTAGTTGACTTCTCTGTAGAAACAGAATAGCTGATTGTAAACTTTACATATATCACAAAGATCTTTTTAAAATAGAAAATTCAGACATTTCCATTTCAAATAATCCTGTAAAATGCAAAATAATAAACACATATAAACCTGGCATAAATGTGTATCAGTAGAATGGAATTGAGAGTACAAAATAAACCATTGTCCTTATGGTGCTAAAACAGCTTAGATATACATATACAAAAGAATGCAGTTAAATCCTTACTTCACACCTTGTACAAAAATGCATTCAAAATAGTAGGAGAAAAACAAAGGAGGGGGTAAAAATATTCAACAAGAAATGTACTCATGTAACTGTAACCCCTCTGGTACAGAATATTTACAATAAAATAAGTTTTTTAAAAAAATAGTAAGAGACTTAAATGTAAGCACTTCTATTTTAAAAAAAAACTTCTAATAGAAAACATACAAATAAATCTTTGGACATTACTTTTGTCATTTGTTTTCAGATCCAGCCTACCAAATTTAAGCAACAACAGGAAAAAGAAAACTGGAATTCATCAATCTTAAAAACTATGTTTATTCACTAAATAAAAAAACAATAGGACAAATGTTTTAGAAATTATGTCTAATTTTTATACAGACTATAAAGAATAATTCAATAACAGATAAATTGCTCAACTATAAATTAAAAAATATCTAAATTAGCATTATTCCAAAGAAAACAAAAATAAATAACCAATAAACATAGAAAAGGGTAGTACAAGTCATTAGGGAAATGAAAATCAAAATCTTAATTAGATACCATTTAACACTTACTAGGAGATGGCAATAAAGGCAACAGTGTTTTAAAGAACGTAGAAAACTGGAACCCATGTGAACTACTAGTAGAAATGCAAGCCAGTGTAGCTACTCCTAAAAATATTTTGGCAGTGAATCAAAACACTACAGAGTTAATA